TGAATGCCATCATTGGCTTTGAAATTTACACCCCATCCTACCTCGGCTACACCTCTTTCCGAAGGTGACTGATATGTGAATAAAAATTAACTCTTAAGCCCTTTATCAAAATGGTAGCCACAGTAAATAATTTTGTGAATGAACATGATAATAAAGATGCATAAATTTCAAGATTGGTTATTCCTAAATTTTTGCTTGAGGATGAAACAGGGCTTGATACTTTAATTCAATTTAATTTTAATAATTATTTGGATGGTTTATTAGTCACCCGTTTATCTTGCGAGATAAAGGTAGCGTGTCTGTTTTGGTCAGAATTCAATCATTTGCTAGTGAAACTGGAGTCACCTTTTCATGGCGCAGGCCTGGGTGATGGTATATGGAGGCTGCCCAGCCTATATGAATCCCTTCTTTCTTGGCCGTACCGACAAGATCCAAAAGAATAAAAGACATTACATTTGATGACGGCTTAGCCGCAGGAGATGCCGGAAAGTTGTCAGTGTTCATAGTACAGAATGTATAAATTGTTTTAAATAAACACTGTTTAGTCTTCATTCTATTTTTTTTTTTTTAATCAAGACGATTTTCGTCCAACACATTTTCAGGGACCAACGTTATCAAAATTGGTATGAATAGATAAGTAATATGGCGGAAGATTTGGAGTATAAAAATATTTTAACGATTAAAATATACGCAAATTCAAATGTTGTAAATACTCCAGCAGAAGGAGAATTTTTTTCCAGTTACTTCATTTATTTGGCAAAGTTGGTCCCTGAAGAAATGTCAACCGAAAGGCGCTTTGTTTTTTTTGTATTTAAAAAAAAAAAAAAACTAAACACACGGGATTTAATAATTAGTATGTTTCATATATTCTTTGGCTTAATTAATTCTTACTAAGCTAGAATCTATTTTACTCAGTAGTGCATGGCGCTCATTTTTTTTTAATGTAAATTTAAATTCCGGCACTAAGATTACCATAATCCACATTAAGGTAGATTAAGCAAAAAGCAATAAAAATTTAAGAAAACTTTATGAAATAATGAGTTAATTTCATTATTATTATTATTATTATTATTATTATTATTATTATTATTATTATTATTATTATCGTTGTTGTTGTTGTTGCTAAGAAAAAGTACATCTGGCCTTAAGTGAATCAGTAAATTATTTTGAAAAAGGCACGCAACCTTAAATTTTTAAGCTATATATATATATATATATATATATATATATATATATATATATATATATATATATATATATGAATATATTACTAATACTTATAAGATTATTATATATATATATTTGATAAGATAGATGGAAAATTTTATGACATGCTACATTCCTTACGCGGAGCAGTTCAGGCCTTTACAGAGATGTTCTCAGGCTTGGATCATCCTAATTCTCTTCGTATTCCATTAGTAAGGAGGAAGTACTATTCGGACAGCTTCTTCACAAGAACGGCTATTTTGTGAAAGAGACTCCCGAGAGGATGTTTCCCCAATCACTACAATCATAACCACTTAAACCCCCAACCGTTAGCAACAACATAATTCAGTAATCACAACCTTGAGTGGCTCTTGGGCGATAAACATCATCATCATCATCATCATCATCATCATCATCATCATCATCATCATCATCAGTCCCCTTTTGCGAGCACTGAGCCAATCCTCGTCACATGTCTAGGCACCAAAACCTGTGTAGTGTGTTTTTGGTAAGTAGACCTGGCGATGCCCATCTCTCTCCGGGTCAAACCACAGCCGATGTCCTCCATCTTGAAAGCTCGCCTTGTTCACTGATACGTGACTGTTGATTCTATTGGGGAATCCCTCTGCCTTATTGGCACTCCAGGAAGTGGTGGCATACATATCTATGGAGTCAAATCTACCCTATTTTGCTAGATGGCAGTTGATCATACAAGAAAGTTCATCCCCCCTTTGACAAGTCTTGTTTTTAATCCTGCTGGCTACTTAACCACCTTCCTCGCTAGAAAATACGTTTTAAACGCGTTTGTATTTATCCCTGCGGTTAGTGACGGGGTTTTCTGCTTAGGATCTTTCGTAAATTTATCAATATCATTGTAACCAATTATTGTAACCAAAATAATCAATTGTATTATTCTCACTTACTTTTTCATCGTTTAGTGTGGGAATTGTTTGTCGGTTCAGTCTCTGTTCCTCTTCAGGTCACTTGTTTTGGGTTCGTTCTCTTGATATTAAAAACGAAAACCAAACGCGTTTTCAGACTTATGCCTGACGAAAGCCATAAATTTACCAAATATACATCCCACAGTCATTATCAAACTCAAACCAGAGAAATTTACTTTATACCAACGTCCGACATGATAGCTTATCTTTCTAACGTGGATTTTCTCTCTATGCTTTTATTTTGTTCAAAAAGCGGGATTATGTGAAGTCATTTTTTGTACTGTCTAATTCTAAGATAAGCTTTGCTAGTTGAGTGATTTTCCCTGTTCGTTAAGCACTTAGAAAAATAAGTTGACATTTATCACTGAAGTAAGTATAATAAAAGATGACATGATGTCTTTTGGGAGGGAAAATAGTTACTCGTAAAAAACGATAAAAATCACGGATTGTAGGATTTGTTTTGAGACGGGGATGGAGTTCAACGTCAAACGAAATGGTAAAAGGAAAAAAAAAAAAACAGTTAGATGGTGAAGAGGTGTGGGTTTGAAACGAAAAGGCGAAGAGGCAGTTGTGTCTGTCAAAAAAGAAAGCCTTGTTGCATCAGGCCAAAATATGTCAAATAAGCAGTTGGTTGATCCGGGGATACTCCTTGGTTTTCAAGTATTGTAGACCAAAAAAGAAATCTCAGTTGGTCTAATATTGGGCTGACCACTTCAAGGTTCAGCATTCAATAAAGCATATTCGTTTGTGATAATCAATGTCAGATTGTATTTTATTCTCGAGAGAAGTTTTTTTTTAAATCAGTGCGCCCAGGCAAACTAATGCGCCCTGAAAGGTGGCCATGTTCCCACCCCAAATGGACAGAAGATTAATTTATGAATTATTTTTATATTTTTATTTAAAAGCTAGAGGCATTAAATCGAGTAATGTTTTTTAAAATAAATTCTTATTTAACGAGACTTCTTCATTAAAAAAAAAAAAATGAAAGCTCCGAGCACGTCGTTTCCATATCTAAGTCTGTTTTTTGATTTTTTTTAAACTGGTTGCTAAATTCCTTAATCTTTAAGAAGGGGGTGGATAATTCTTTCCCTTTTGACTTCATTGAGTGATTTCATTCAGCCATTATAAAGAAAATAGCAGATTCTTCATAAATCCCTTTAAATGAAAACTGTACCGCTAATCTTCCTTGGGAATGCTAAACCAAAAATGACAATTATTTTCCTATTTTCAAATTTCATGACTAATTTTTTCCTTATTAAAATTCAAGGTGCAGCCTAGAACAGGGGTCGGCAACCTATGGAACGCGTGCCACACGTGGCACGCCAAGCATTTTCCAATGGCACGCAGACGCAAATGATATCACGAAGTCCGAACCAATAGCTACTACAACGCAAAGAAGATATTTAGCTGTTTCAAAACTGTTCACACGTTGGACTTCCATTAATAATAAAAAACTTAAAAAAATCTTTTAAAAACATTTTATTTCTATTGATAAGGTTTATATATTATTGTATATATTACTTACGATATAAAATCTATTGTAGAACAGGTATATTGACTTTGACTTGTATAAAAATACGTATGCTGTTGGCACACTGAATAATTTTAAAACCTTGAGTCGGTACATAGCCAGCAAAAGGTTGCCGACCCCTGCACCAGAATTTTAGTCATTCTACAAGTGTACCCTGAAGTAGAAAAGGTTGAGAAACATCTCTTGAAAGTATCGTTGATTTTACAAGTATGTCGCAATAACCTGATTGGAAATACAAATTTTTCTACCGGCGTTTTCTGTAGCATTGGCGAATTTTACGTTAT